TTATTTATTTTCTGTTTTGTCTTGTCTATGTTTTTCTTATAACAGAGATGAAATTATTGAAATTGGTCCTGTTATTTGTTATTATTTTATTTACAATTCTGTATTCATATATACCTGTTTATTATTAGAAAAATGAATATGCAAGGGTCTAGTAATTATATTTTGAATATATATATATATATATTCAAAATATAGGCGTATCCCCGTCATGTTATATTTTTTTGAAATTTAATTGCCATATCACCCTATTCGTATCATGCCGTACTAATATCGTGTTCATATCTGTACTTCATAACCTTTATCACTGTCATATCTTTTACACTATTTTCTAATTTTTTCCTCATCTTTGTCAAGCGCCATATACCACCACCTCAATGAAATATAATATATTATCTTTTTATTAATAATTTTATAAATAAATAAGTCATTATTTGAAATAACAAATTGTTATTGAGTGGATGCCTTAATGACATGACACCCCATTCAATATTTACCCATCTTTCAATTTTCATCAATTTCACTTCTCTCATCAGCTTACACATTACCTGATATTTACACTCAAACGCTACAATCGACGACCAAAACTTCGTCCGCGATGCCTCATTCGAATACATAAAACACAAACAACAAATTTATAAAAGTTCAATAATAAATTTTAAAAAGAAGAAAATAAAAAGTTAGTAATTTATTTATTTTTATATAATTAAAAAGTATCTATTTACGTAAATATCATAAAAAAAATAATAATATAAATTTTTTTTTTATATATTTAACAAATTTCAAGACAATTGTGAGTTTGTCATAGACTCACCCCGGCATAAGAAGTACGGCATGTGTATATTTTTTTCATTTATATTCATCTTACACTCCTTTATATTCAGGGTGGAGCCAAAAAAGTTTAAGTAGGGCTCAATTTGTATTATATAACTAAATTTTAAAAAATTTATAAAATTAATTATAATATAATTTTATTTAAATATTTAAATATTAGTTATAATATATATATATATTCTAAGAAAATTAAAAAAATATAAAAAATACAACTTTATGTCGCATTCGATAAAGATTTCACAAATCAACAAAAGTAAAAACCCAAGCCTCAATAATAAGAAAAATACAACTTTATATCGCATTGGATAAAGACGTTCCAAATCAACAAAACCCATTAGAACAGCCATGCTTGATAAGATCAGGACAGCTATTTTCACGTGAGCCGCCGTTAATTACATCCACAAGAACCCACCGGTCCCCTACCTCAAATAAAGAAACACATTAATTACGTCATGCATGATGCAAATTGTTAGACAAACTTGTGCCAACACCATTATTTATTTATTTATTTATTTTTTCACCAAGTCCATTATTGTACCAACACCATTATTGATTTCCCCCAGTCATACTAGTAATAAGTAGATCTTTCATATATGTATATGTGTGTGTATATATACGCAATCTGTTCATGCGAGCAATTTAGCTACTACAACAGTATACAATATTCACGAATATGGAACTTTCTTGGGTGTACACTTGTCTGTCTGTTCTCCTCCTTGTTCTAGCTTTGAACTTCTTGTCAAAAACAAGAAACCGATATCGAAACCTCCCGCCGAGCCCACCGGCTTTTCCGGTCATAGGTCATCTCCACCTACTAAAACCACCTCTCCACCGAACCCTACATATCTTGTCACAAAAATACGGCCCCATCATCTCCCTTCAGTTCGGGACTCGCCGGATTGTGGTGGTGTCATCACCATCTGCCGTGGAGGAATGTTTCACCAAGAACGACATCGTCTTTGCCAACCGCGCACCCTTTTTGACAGGCAAGTACATAAACTACAATTACACCACCATCGCCACAGCCCCCTACGGCGACCACTGGCGCAATCTTCGCCGCCTCAGTGCTCTCGAGATCTTCTCAACCACTCGACTCAACTCCTTTCTATCCATTCGAAGGGATGAAATCAGGCTTTTCTTACTAAGACTGTACCAAAACTCATCCGGAGAATTTGCAAAAGTTGAGCTGAAATCAAAGCTTACGGAGCTGAGTTTTAATATCATGATGAGGATGATTGCAGGGAAGCGGTATTATGGCCAAGACGTGCCGGCCGACTTCGAGGAGGCGAAGGAGTTCCGGGAGCTGATAAAACAGGTGGCCCGGTACGGTGGTGTATCGAATTCAGGAGATTTCTTGCCGGTTCTACGATGGATTGATTATCAGAACGTGGAGAAGAATTTGATGGGACTGAGTAAGAAGATGGATGCGTTTTTGCAAGGTCTGATTGATGAGCATCGATGCGGGAAGAGTAAGGCTACAATGATCGATCACTTGCTCTCCTTGCAAGAATCGCAGCCAGAATACTACACGGATAAGATTATCAAAGGGCTTATGATGGTCGGTCTATATTTCATTTTTATATTATATATATATACATATATAATGAATCTGGACTTGGATGTCCATTGGAATTGAGAAATTAACTTAAAAAGAAAACTAATATATTACATTAAAAATTATCTTAGAATATTTTTTTTCTTCATTTTATTTTTTCTCAAGGTTTCAAATAAACCCACACAAATCCAAATTATTGCACCTCCACAAGGATTACAATTTATTAACTTATAATGTGCAGGTGATGTTACTTGCGGGTACAGACACATCTTCAGTGACAATAGAATGGGCTATGTCAAATTTACTTAACCATCCCGAGGTGTTGAAGAAGGCAAGAGTTGAGTTGGACTATCACGTGGGCCAAGATCGCTTGATCGACGAACAAGATTTCTCAAAATTGAATTACCTTCTTAATATCATTTTAGAAACCTTTCGATTGTGCCCGGCCGCACCACTTTTAGTGCCACATATGTCCTCGGATGACTGCACCGTCGGTGGATACGACGTGCCACGTGGCACAATATTGTTGGTCAATGCATGGGCCATCCACAGGGACCCTAAGGTTTGGGATGATCCTACAAGCTTTAAGCCTGAAAGGTTTGAAGGTGGGGAAGTTGAGGCACACAAGCTAATGCCATTTGGGATGGGTAGGAGGTCATGTCCTGGTGCTGGGCTGGCCCAACGTGTGGTGGGCTTGACTTTGGGGTCGTTGATTCAGTGCTTTGAGTGGGAGAGAGTAAGTGAGCAGCATGTTGATATGACCGAAGGAACGGGGGTTACAATGCCCAAAGTTGAGCCATTAGAGGGCATGTGTAAAGCACGTGACATCATGAAGAAGGTCGTTGTTTCTGAAGCAACATGATCATGTTTGAACAATTTTTGTAATATATTTTAAGTTTGTAAATTGTAATAGCTTAAATATGCATTTTACTGTTTCTTAACCATTTACTCTATTTTGTAATTGTACTTAAAGTCGAAACAACGTTTTTGGGCCAAAAATACATTGTTTTGTTCATGCAATTGGGCAGTCTTTAGGTTTATAAATTGAAACTGATTTTTAGTAGATTACGAACAAAGAGTAGTACTATTACTAGTTTACTTGCCATATGTAGATCAGTTGCTACATGTAGATCATTCATTTGAAGGCCAATCTTATATTGACATTAATTCTGTCAGCTTCTGAATTTTGTTGATCAATCCACACATGCTCGAAACTTTCAGAGATAATAAATGCACAGAGTTAGCTAGAATCAGAAAATGGATGTAAATACCGCAAGCACTTCAAAAGTTTCTGAAATTTACTCAAGATGATATAAAAATTTTAGCTAATCTGAATTAACTTGAATTTTCAATTCAAAATCTCATTTTCAGGTACCAAATCCCAAAAAAAAATCTCTTAAAAAAATAAATTTGAAGACGCTGTGAATTAAGAAAAAAAAAAAAATATTTATTCAAGTATTCAATAATAGCAACATTACTATTCTCGAAAGCTATAAAACATCATACATGTAAAGATACATACATAATCTACATAGAGAGAGAACTAATAAAAAAACTCGTCAGGGCCTTTGGCTGATTATGGCTGTAGGGCATCTTAGTAAAATAACTTATGAAAACTAAAATTGTAAATCATTTTCTTTCCAAATGCAAAAAAAAAAAAATAATAAAAAAAATAAAAAAAAAAGAGTCTAAGCCTATTAACAATAACCAACTGATGATGTCCCTCAATCATCATGTATACATCTTATATTTTAGTGGTACCAAAGAGTTGTACCCCCTTCAGTCAATGTGGTCGCTGGAAAGGATAAACACAAATTTCTAATTGGTGTTTCTTTCCAAATGCAAAAAAAAAAAAAATAATAAAAAAGAGTCTAAGCCTATTAACAATAACCAACTGACGATGTCCCTCAATCATCATGTATACATCTTATATTTTAGTGGTACCAAAGAGTTGTACCCCCTTCAATCAATGTGGTCGCTGGAAAGGATAAACACAAATTTCTAATTGGTGTACCCCACTTGTCATTAAAAAAAATAAAAGAAAAGAAAAAGAAAAAGAAAGATAAAATGCATAAAATTCCACCAACTATGAATCTCAATGCTTATAATAACCACTCACTATCACTCACTCTTTGGACTTAGTGTAAGAATTTTCAAACTAATTTATTTCCGTGAGATGTAAATACTATTATACGTATCCAATAATTTAATCCTCTACAATTCTTTCACAATAAATTGTGCATCCCTCGGCAATGATTATAAATTTTATAAAAAGGATATATTTCTTTCGTTTTAATTTAAGTGTTATTTATAGATAATAGCAATTTTTAAAAGGATATGTGAGACTTTCGTTTGAATTTAAGTGTCATTTATAGAGAATAATAATTTTTAAAGGAATATGTGAAATATGCATTGTCAACCTAAAAAATTATTAACATGTCTTTCTAAATTTTAAATATATAAATTTAAAATTTTAAACTTTTTTTCTTAAAAAAAAAAAAAAAAATCATTTTGTATATTATTTTTCTTTTAATAAAGGAAATAATCAACGTATACAATTCAACCCCCCAGTCAACTCATTCTTCTTCCTTTATATTCTAAAATATATAAAACTTTCATGTCCGGGATTGCCCTTTTTGTTTCGTCCCCATATTGTAAGAGCCTCATTCTCACAAAGAAGAGTATCAAACATTTCTCAACCAAATTTCATGGAAAACCTTTACCCCCATCACATCTTTTACTCTCTTTTCTATCTTCTTCTCCTCCTCATCTTTCAATTCTCATCTATTTCACTTCTCTCATCAGCTTACACATTACCTGATATTTACTTTATCAACTGTGGGTCAGACTCAAACGCCACAGTCAACAACCGGAATTTCGTCGGCGATGCGACCTCCGCCTCCTTCGGCTTCTCCGCCGGCCAGAGCAGTCCTGTTAAAGCCTCCAACTCATCTACACAGACCTCCCCTGGTCTCTATCAAACTGCAAGAGTCGTCACAAACCCATCGTCTCCATATGAGCTCGACATACAGCAAAATGGCACTTACATGGTACGCTTCCATTTCTATCCTTTTTCATCCCCAAAACGGAATTTATTCGATGCCCAATTCGATGTTTTGGTCTCTGGGTTTTCGCTTCTATCGAATTTCACTGTCAAAAATAGTAGTAATTCACCTGTGATTAAGGAATTCCTGCTCACCATCAATGTTGGGAAATTCAAAATTTACTTCAGACCTTCCCAAAATTCATCTTTCGCATTTGTGAATGCTATAGAAGTGTTCATTGCCCCCGCAAACTGCATACCTGATAGTGCCACTCTTGTCACTCCTTCAGCAAGTAACACTTCTAATTACAATGGTTTGCTCTCTCGGGCTTTACATACAATTCATAGGATTAATGTTGGTGGTGTTAATGTGGCACCGAATAACGATACATTGTTGAGGAGTTGGGTACCTGATGATGATTTTCTATTTCAACCCAATACTGCAAAGAACAGTGAGTTTTATAATGGCAGGCCTGTATACGGGCTTGGAAAAGCCACCGAGTTTACTGCTCCTGATTTTGTCTACAAGACTGCCAAGGAAATGAATATAGATTCAAACAGGGGAGATAATTTTTTCAATATAACGTGGCGATTGGTTGTGAACAAAAATGCCAGACATTTTGTTCGTGTGCATTTCTGTGACATCGTTAGTTATTCTCTTAATACTGTCAAGTTCAATCTCTATCTTTATAGCAAGTTCAGTGAGTTAGTAGATCCATATGAAGTAATAGATCAGTTGGCTGCTCCTTTTTACTTTGATTTCGTGGTTGATTCTGATAATTCTGGTTATATGAATATTAGTGTTGGTCCACGGCGTGATTCATTTAATCAAACTGCATTTCTGAATGGGCTGGAGATTATGGAATTAATGAAGGAATCGGAGGATATGGAAGATCAGGCTTCGAAGAGCCATATGTTTATAATAATAATTTGTTCGGTTGTTGGAGGTGTGGCTTTTGTGTTGAGTTTGATGGGGGTGTTGTTTTGGAGAATGAGATGCAGGAAAGCAAAGGCTGTTGAGAGTGTGGATTGGCCTTTGGTGCCTATGTACGGAGGGAGTTCATATGGCACAGAGAGAACTCCCAATGGCTCCACTGCTCCGACTTTTTATCTCGGGTTGAAGGTACCAATTGCTGAAATACTCCATGCAACAAACAATTTCGACACCAAGCTGATGATTGGAGAGGGTGGGTTTGGGAAAGTGTATAAAGGTACTCTTAGGAGTGGTATGAAAGTGGCCGTCAAACGAAGTCATCCAGGCCACGGTCAGGGTATTGCAGAATTCCAAACGGAGATCATGGTATTGTCCAAAATCCGCCATCGCCATCTTGTTTCCTTGATCGGGTACTGTGATGAAGGGTCTGAGATGATACTAGTTTATGAATTCATGGAGAAGGGGACTCTGAGAGATCACCTATATGTTTGTAATGAAGACACTCAGAAATCTTTTTCAGGATCTGAATTGTCTTGGAATAGAAGGCTTGAAATTTGCATTGGTGCAGCCAAGGGTCTTCATTACCTTCATACTGGTGCAGATGGGGGAATTATTCACCGTGATGTTAAATCCACAAACATCTTGCTTGATGAACAATATGTGGCTAAAGTTGCTGATTTTGGTCTTTCGAGATCAGGTCCTCCTGATCAAACACATGTCAGCACTGATGTAAAAGGCAGCTTCGGTTATCTTGATCCCGAATATTTCAGATATCTTCAGTTGACACAGAAATCAGATGTGTATTCTTTTGGAGTGGTTCTTCTTGAGGTGCTTTGTGCAAGGCCAGCTCTTAATAACTTGCTTCCGCGTGATCAAATAAACTTGGCGGAATGGGGGATGTCTTGGCTAATGAAGGGGGAGCTTGAAAAAATTGTTGATCCTATACTTGTCGGTAAAATCAATCCCAACTCATTGAGAAAATTTGGTGAAACAGCAGGGAAGTGCTTGAAGGAATATGGTGCTGAAAGGCCCAATATGCATGATGTACTGTGGGATTTGGAATATGCACTGCAGCTTCAACAAACTGCAAGAAACAGAGAGCCCCACGAGGACAGCACAACAGATGCTTCATGGGTGTTACCAATGACTGTTGTTCAGCGGTTACCTTCTCAAAGCATCATAATTGACGAATCCATAAATGATGGTTCAGATACAACTCTTATAAGTGCTAGTGAAGTGTTCTCACAATTGAAGATTGATGATGCCAGATAATCTGGTGGTTTGAGGTACAGTTTGGTTTTACTTTGCTTTCTTGATTTGGTTTGCTTACTACTATTATCTTGGGCCTGCAAAAATATAATATATCCTGTTTAGAGAAGTTCTGACAAAATTTAGTCATATGACAAATTGAAGTATTTTTCCAATATATTTGGTGTTTTTAACTTGAGATACGGTGCTAGATGTCTGCTTTGACATTATTTCTTCAATATATGTTATGCGCTTAAGACACGGATTAAGTTATAAAAACAATGGTAACAAGTTATAGACACAATTACCTTCCGAAAAAAAAAAAAAAAGTTATAGACAATTGCCTGAATTGAATTCGATTTTTGGAACACATTTGAGTCATGATGATGATAAACATATTGAATTTCTTTGTTTTTTTTGCAAGTGATTCGATACTTCTTCAATCTAAATTTGATTCATTACTTGCATTTTGATCCTTACATTCTTGTTGGTGTTGAAATGCAGAAAGTCTGTCCACGCTACAATTCTCAAGTGCGACTCTTTGTGGCAGTCATAGGCCAGGCCAGAGCATGACCTCCTGATCAAATGCTGTTCCTTGTTTCTTGTGAAGTTATTCTAATCTCTAGGATATCAATATTCAGTATCTGCTGCAATTAGCATTCTATGTTCTTGCTGTTTTGTGTAGAAATTGACCGTGCTACAATTCCTCTGGTAGCATTTAAGTTTGCGTATCTGAAACTTGTTTATATAGAAACGTATGTATTAATGGTTTAGTGCAATTTGAATTATAGTATTAGGTTAGAGTGGGTCCAAATTAAATTCTTGCTGAAGAACAAATATGTGATTTTGCTTATTATATTTGGTAGTACTGAATTGGTGCATTGGATTTGGGATTGAACCGCCAAACATAGCATTGAGTGCATTTGGTGTGAGATGATTTGAGCATACTCTCAACATTCACCGAGACTAATGCTCAGCTAAAATTCCAAAAATTCTCATTATAATCCTGGATTCTTTGGCATTTTAGAAAAATACTTCAATGCTGGTGTTAAACCATATCTCATTTTCTTTCCTTCAATGCTGGTGTTAAACCATATCTCATTTTCTTTCCATCTTTGTACATACAATTCTATGATTCTGGCTGCAAAGATTTCCCATTCTCACCTTCCTGAACCAGAAAGTCTGGTACAATTTCACGAAGTTCTTGTTCTCCTTCCTGACTTTATCGGAATAAAGAGCAAGTTAACCTTTTTGGCTTATAGGCACGAACTGGTATTGGTCATTTTAGCAACCTACTTCAAATATCATGGCAATGGTGACGATCATGATTCAATTCACAAACCCTAATTCCCTCAGTATCCCCACCAATCTCAACCAGGAATCAATCTTTTGCACTTCAATTAATACACAATATCACCATAGTCGGCGACTATACACGATCGTTAATGTGATCAAACAGCTTCATGCGATTGGTTAATAGGCTAAATTTCTCAATGCGCTTCTGATTTGGGCACCTGGGTATGTCTGCCAGAGCTGTGGAGATGTGAGCTTCGTTCCGTGCTTGAATTATAATGGAAGCAGAAAGGTTTACGAAGAAGATGAAGAGAAGTTGAAGAGATGTCTGGAGTGCAACAAAAGCGGGTTGATTCGGTGTCCGACTTGCTGCTGTTCTTCAATTTTTTATTAGATGCGCATCTTGAATATCACAATGAATGATGTATATTCAAGTATGCTTTGGATTCTAAAAAAAATAAAATATCACCCTGCAAGTCCAAATATATCTGCATAAAACTAACTAGCCACTTTGCAAAATATTCAATCTTGATCCTCCAATCAAAATATGTAAATTTTGAGTTGTAAGTGCCACTCCATCTTCTCATAATTAGGACCCTAAAGAGAGATTTTTAATTTTTAATTTTCTTTTTTTTTTTTTTTTTTAAAAGTCTATTGTAGACTAGCTTTTTAACAACCTGAAAATTTCACAGCACTATGCTATTGGATTGAAGATCCATGTTAGGCAACAAATTTTGGTATCTAGTTCTTTTCTGGAGGAGCAATGGCTTCTGCTTCTCCTTATGGAATGAGCCTACTCAATTTTTTTTTAACCAGAAGTCCTTTGAATGGGCATGATGAGATTCTTGTTAGAGGCGATTCGTAAAAACCATTAATAACATAAATTCGCTGAGATCAATAATTGGATGCTAAAATGTAGTCCAATCTGGAACCGGAAAATATATGAGTCAACACCTAGTCAGTAGTCTTTGTTTAACTTTTAAAAAAGTTTAATTTAGCAAGTTGCTTCGTATCATCTACCTTATTGTGGTGGCCACAGATACTGATAAGCTTCACTCCTACCGGAAAAAGTAGCAATCCCCATCAAATTTGCATGGAAAAGCTTCAATAGTCTTTCTTTCTTTAACTTTTAAAAAGTTTAATTTAGCGAGTTGATTCTTGTCATCTACATTATTGTTTATTGATAAGCTTTTCCCATCAAATTTCCATGGAAAAGCTTCAATAGTCTTTCTTTAACTTTAAAAAAGTTTAATTTAGCAAGTTGGTTCTTGTCATCTACATTATTGTTTACTGATAAGCTTCACCCCCACTGAAAAAGTAGCAATTCCGGTCAAATTTCCATGGAAAAGCTGCACTCCCACAACGTTCTCTCCCCTTTCTTTCTCCTTCTCCTCCTCCATCTCTCTTCTCTTCAACTTCTCTCTTCAGCTTACACTCCTCCACTAAAGTACTTCATCAATTGTGGATCAAAGTCCAACATGAACTTGAGCAATAGGAACTTTGTAGGAGATGAGAATTCAGGTACCTTCTCCTTTTCCAAGAAGAGCAGCACTGAAACTGACAACAGCCCCACAAGGAATCCATCGGCTCTCTATCATACAGCAAGAATATTTAACCGCCAATCTTCATACAAGTTCACAATTGATGAGACGGGCACTTATCTGGTTCGTCTCCATTTCTACCCTTTCTCATCACATACTAATCTCACCACTGCTGTGTTTAATGTCTCGATTCAAGGGTTTTCTTTATTGTCAAATTTTAGTGTACGAAACAGTACAAACACCCCTGTGATCAAGGAATTCCTGATCACCATCAATCCAAAGAAGTTCATAATTCAATTCACACCGTATCAAAGAACTTCTTTAGCTTTCATAAATGCCTTGGAAGTCTTCGTAGCTCCTCCAAAGTTCATCCCGGATGCTGCTCCTCACGTTACCCCTGGAGGAAAAGCTAATCTTACTTCAGGAGGTTTGCCCTCTCAGGCTTTAAAAACCCTCTATAGAATCAATGTTGGAGGTGACTCATTTGGGTCAGATTATGACACTCTCTGGAGGAACTGGACATCAGATGATGGTTATCTAATTAATCAGGAATCTACAACAAACAAGTTGCCCCCCAAAGGTATTAAATATGAGGACGGTAATGCTACGAAATATATTGCCCCAAATTTTGTCTACAACACTGCCAGAGTCTTGAATGTGAAGTCAAATATATCCAACATAACTTGGCGTTTTGATGTGAGTAAGAAGGCTAGCCACCTTGTAAGGATTCACTTTTGTGACATAGAGAGTGAGTCACAAAATACTCTTGTGTTCAATCTCTATATCTATAGCAAGTTTATTCAAATAGTCAATCCTTATGAAATCTTTAACCCGGTGGCAGCTCCATTTTGCTTAGATTTTGTGGTTGATTCTGATGAATCTGGATTTATGAATATCAGTGTAGGGACTATGCTGGACTCGGATAACCCTCCCATTCTGAATGGGCTGGAAATATTGGAGTTTATGAAGGAGAGTAATTCTGCTTTTGTGGAAGAAGAATCGAAAAAGAATCATCTGTCTCTAATAGTCGGTTTAGCTGCCGGTGGTGTGGTTATTGTCTCCATTTTGATGATAGTGGTGTTGGCTTTGAGATGCAGAAAAACATCTGACTCAAATGTTCCAAAAATGAACCTTGGGCTAAAGATACCATTTGCTCAAATAAAGCGTGCAACTAAGAACTTCGACAAGAAAAAAATGATTGGTTCAGGTGGATTTGGGAATGTTTATTTAGGAACTCTCAGGAATGGTATGAAGGTGGCTGTGAAACGAGGTGAAGCAGGGCATCAACAAGGCTTCTCAGAATTCCAAACGGAGATCAAAATATTGTCCAAGATTCGCCATCGCCATCTGGTTTCCTTGATTGGGTATTGTGATGAAAGGTCTGAGATGATACTGGTATATGAATTCATGGAAAAAGGGACACTGAGAGATCATCTATACAATTCGAGTAAAAACTCTGCTGCACCATCTACAGAATATTCATTGTCTTGGAAGCAAAGGCTTGAAATTTGCATTGGCTCTGCTGAGGGTCTTAATTACCTACACACTAGTTCAGATGGGGGAATCATTCACCGTGATGTAAAGTCGACAAACATCCTGCTTGATGGAAATTGCGTGGCCAAAGTTGCTGATTTTGGTATTTCAAGAACAGGTCATCTTGACGAAACCCATGTCACTACTGATGTAAAGGGCAGCTTTGGATATTTTGATCCAGAATATTATGGAAGTCAAATGTTAACACTTAAATCTGATGTTTACTCATTTGGAGTGGTTCTGCTGGAAGTGCTTTGTGCAAGACCACCTATCGATACTTCACTGCCTGGGAAGGAAGTGAACTTGGCAGAATGGGCGATGTCTTGGCAAAAGAGAGGACAGCTTGAAAAAGTTATTGATCCTAGGCTGGTTGGTGACATCAATCCAAGTTCATTGAGAAAATTCGGAGAAATAGCTGAGAATTGTTTAAAGGAATGTGGTGCTGACAGGCCTACTATGGGTGATGTGATGTGGGACTTAAAATATGCACTGGAGCTTCAACAATCTATTACGAGCACAGAGCCATTTGAGGATAGCACAATAGATGCTTCATTGCAGCTGCCATTGATTGTTACTCAGAGTCTTCCTTCTCATAGCTTCTCAATTGAGAAAGATGATGTGCCCACAGAAAGGAATGATGGATCCGAAACAACTGCTAGTGAAGTGTTTTCTCAATTAAGAATTGATGATCCCAGATAAGGTCTATTGGCTTGAGAGGTACTTGTGTTATTTAACTTTCTTTAGCATCAAATTGGGATTTCTTCTCTAAATGATATATAAGTTGAATAAGGATCAGTTCGAGTTATTATGACATCTAAGCTTCAGTCCTTAATTGTTTTCTATTTCATGTCCATGCTTTGGTGAAGTGAGCAACTACATAATGAAATGTTGTAATCATTCATCAAAGGCCATAGATTTCTACAGCGTGAACTTGTATGTTCTTTTTCAGGAATCCTTGTATATATATGCCATTGTGTACCATGGCAGGCCTTTTTTAACTTTGTTCCCCATGGCTTTGCAAACTGCTTGGTACCATATAGCATGCATAAGGGCTTCCATTCACCATTGTTTTTGGCTGCAAGCAGGTGTGAAACCATCAGGCTCCATTTGATGAATTCTAGGAATTGTAGTAAAACTAATTTCTGTCAATTGATGCAACTAAAATTGAACTTGGCTTCACCTTCATTCCAGTCCAGTACTTTATTGCATTTAGTTTAGAATTATTGTCCTCTATGGGACCATTTTTGTAATATTTTTGTTTTTCACTATTTTCCATTTCTCTGAAATTTTCCGTTTTTGCAAGGGCATTTTCGTCGTTTCTCGTTTTGCGTGCCGGACACCGCGGGGTATGCCGGGTGTGTTCGAGAGTTGGTTGGGACATTTATGTGAGTTCAGGACTCTTATAAATGCAACGGTTGCCATTTCGGCATTTTTCTGTTTTTTGGGCCGGAAGGTCCCGGATGGGACCCGCTACCGAAATTGTCACGTACGGGAGTTTTGTTTGAGTTCATTTGCATCTCATTCATTTTTAATTATTGTGTTTTATGTGGCAATAATATGGTTTGTATGCATATATGTATGTGTGGTGGAAAAGAAAAGTAAAAAAGGTGGATTTTTAGTTGTGGGACCCACCATTAATGCATCTGTAGCCAAGAGGCCAACTTTGGCCTCACTTTTCTCTCTCTAATTCTTTCTTTCCTCGGCACTCTCTCTCTCTCTCTCTCCCTATTTTCTTTTCATTTTTCTCTTCTTTTTCATTCAAAGTTTCAAGCTTTGATTAATCTTTAACCGTTAGGAGTTTGGTTATGTCGTTTACGACAAATCGAAGAGCTCGTCAAGATCTACATATTGATGTAAGCAATTTCTTGTTTGGCTAACCATAAGAATTTCGAAATTTGGGCTTGGGAATTGGGGATTTTTCATCTAGCTTGAGGTAGGAGTTTTTAATATACAATTTCTAGCACTTTAGTGAGTGTTGAAGATGGATTCTGCACAACCCGGATCTGATCTGACTTCCTGAATAAAGAGAAGAAAAAGTGATCCTACAAACACCGGTGTGTTACCGGTGGAGTAGGCTCCGACGAACAAGTCAGTATGAATGATAATCTCTCTGGAGAAATCGAGATATTGAGTTAGGGTTTTTTGCCTACCTCCAAACGTCGATTAGCCCTCCCTATTTATAGGACTTGGGTCAGGATGTTACGTAGCGTCCACGTCGTCCTTAATCCTTATCATAATCTGTTGGCCTAATCCTTATCATATTCTGCAATTCTTATCGTAATCTGTAACCCTTATCTTAGTCGTAGTCCTTATCTTAGTCTGTAGAGCCTATCTCAATCTTATGAGATAGCGCGTTACTTTAACGATCTTCCCCTATCCACGGGTAATTAAATTATAATCATCAGTGAGTTTTCTTTTTGATTTGTTGTCGAGCATGCTAATTGAGTTGACTTTATTGTAAAATGATTAAATTGTTCTAAATAAATTATATGATTATGTGTGTTAGTTGATATTATATGAGAAAACATGTTTAAATGATTATCTTCCATGCCTATTGTGTTTAAATTGCTAGAATTTGCAATATGGAAATATGTTGATGTGTGAATTGTAATAATCCTTTACTTGACATGGCATTAGAAAACATGAGACATTCATGCATAGCATTAGGCATGGAAATGGGAAATTGGTTTTGAAAGAAATGAAAAATGAGGTTTTGGGGAAAAGTTTTGAAAAGGTTTATGAAAAACCTGGCTGCTTAAGAGTTGCTTAGGGATCACAGCGTTAGTGAGGCCTAGAGGGTACTAGGGAGATCACCCTAGCGTGGTTGAGTTACCTGGGCCCCAAATGACGCTATAGAGTTGCCATGGGTCAGGGACAGTTAGCTAATCCTCCTCTCGTGCTGCCATGGAGCTGCCATGGGATGGGTTTCATTAATGGTTTTGGAAATGAAGATGGAAATGGTTTGGAGATGGGGAGTGACATTACATGGCATAGCACCCCATTGCACGACATACTTCATACATGACTCAGATTATTAATGTTGCTATTGTGGTTGTATTCTTCCTTGAAGTAGCATGACCCCAATTCCTTCATTCCTATTCCTTGTGTGGATTCACGGGGTCTCAAGAGGTGTCCCTTAGGTGTAATATTTTTGAATTTCGCCATTTCCATTTTTCTGGAATTTTTCGTTCATGCAAGGGCATTCTCGTCCTTTCTCGTTTTGCGCACCGGACACCGCGGAGTGTGCCGGTTGTGTCCGAGAGTTGGTTGGGACATTTCATTGTGTCCAGGACACTTTGAAATGCCAAGGTTGCCATTTTTGTATTTTTTTCATTTTTCGGGCCGGATGGTCCCGGGTGGGACCCGTTACCGGATTTGTTATGTACTGGAGTTGCGTCACGGGTCCATTACATTTCATGCATTGTTTTTTTTTTTTTTTTTTTGCACAATTTCACGGTGATGTATTAATTTGTGTGGTTGGGATTTAAAAGATATATATATATATATATATATATATTTGTGGTGGAAAATAAATGATAAAGGATATATTAAAAGCAAGTGGGCCCCACCATTTCATTAAATCATCTCAAAGGCCTAATGGCCATATGTAACCATCAGTTTCTCTCTCTTTACGTAAATCTCTCTCCCTCTTTTCTTTTCTTCAAAGCTTTAGACCTTGATTGCTTTCTCATTTTTGAGAGATTTTTGATGCCGTTTGCGGCAAAACGGAGAGCTCGGTGAGATCTTCAAGTTGATGTAAACAATTTCAGCTTTTGGCCTCCCATGGGATTTCGAATTTGAGACCCATTTTGAGGGTTTTTCTACAAATTTGAGGTAGGGGTGTTCTAATCCATGATTTCTTGAATTTTTGTGAATTTTGCTCTTTAATTTGACCTAAAGCATGCTTAATTTTAATTATCTTGTCCATTGCTATTGTGGTTGTATGTGCACAAAATGATGAATATATTTTACATGCTAATTGGGTTATATACATGGCTATTTACATTATTGTGAAGAAGCATGCTTAATTTTGGTATATTATGTGACTTGTAAATTCTCAATTGCTATGGAAATTGATGTTGTGGTTGTGAAATAATTGTTTAGAATTTTTTATATAAAAATAAATAAATAAATAAATAATAAAATGATGATGATAAAGAAGAGCATGTAGAATTTTATTATTAAATTGTGTTTAGAAGTATGAAGCATTCATGCATCTATTGGGAAAGGAAAATGGGAAAAATGTTTTGAAAGCAAATAAAATGATTTTGGAAAAATGGTTTTTTTTTTTTTTTTTTTTTTTGGAAAGTGTTTGCGAAAATCCGAACGCCTAGGAGGCGCCTAGTGGTCTGTGGTGTTAGTGTGATCTAAAGAAGGTAGAGAGAGACTCTAGTGTGGTTGAGCTACCCAGGCGACGCCATGGAGGTGCCATGTGGTCGAGGAAGACTAGCCAACCCCTCCCTCGTGACACTTTGGAGGTGCCTTGGGTCGGATTACACTAACGGTTTGGAAGTTGAAACGGAATTGTTTCGGAAATGGGGAACGACATGAGTATGGCATTGTACTTCATTGGCATACATGGTGTATTTGTGACTTGGATGACATTTGTGTTTATATTGGATGTTGTGGGTATGGTTTACATCCCTGGTAGAGTATGATCCCATTATCTTGTTTTCTATTCTATACGTGGATTCACGGGGTTATAAGAGGTGTGTCTTAGACACTTTTTACTGAGCTTATGCTCACCCCTTTATTATTAACATTTTTCAGGACATGGAAGGGAAGTGGCGGACGACGCTCCTCCACAGGGTTCGATGGGTTAGTAGATCGTTTGACATATTTTGTAACTATGATCTCATTTTATTACTATTATTTATTAATTAATTATTATTATTATTATTATTTTATAAACCCTGGGATGACATGTATATTATGTATTGACATAGGAAAGGATGGTAGTGCCCTTAGTTGATCTCGGGTTCGGGTAAGGACTCGGTTAGCGATTCGGACCCTCGGGTTCGGATCGTTACAAAATTGGTATCAGAGAAATGGTTCGAATACCATTAGGATGACGGGTAGAGGCCTACCTAGGATTGCATGAGAAGTTGAATTGCATGTTTGTATGTTTATGTGTTAAGGTGCTTAATTGTTGAGAAGCATGTATAACTAATTATTTGTTTTATTGCTTTTGTGTTTACAGTTTTAAGAGACATGATTCCTTGCTAAGTGTTGACATGCTTATGTGCTTAAATGTTAAAATATGTGTTACATGGCTAGAACGTTTATGTATTAATGATTGAAAGCATGTTATATGTGATAAGATGTCGAGCTGTAAGTATGGGTTATGGATGGTGAGCTGTAAGTATGGGTTATGGCATGTAAGTGGTGCATTGTAATGTGACGGACAGTTGAGCACGGGTTGTGCAAGTGTGTATTATATGAGATGATGATGATGATGAACGGAATATTTAATTTTACATAATATTTTAATGGATTCATTGGTTGAACTTATGTGATAGGACACGGTTGTGTCAAGAGTACGACTTCAGGATGGGTTTGTATTTCATGGCACGGTGTCTGTGTTGTGTGTGAGTTTCATGCATCGGTGTATAGGTTCTTGTGACAGTGGGGTCAGGTGTGCGAGTGAAGGTTTTGTGGGAGAAAGGTATGACCTTAGGGGATTAGTGCTCATGACTTGAGTTGTGGTTTGGTGCGGAGACTCTTTTCGAACCAGTCGTGGTAGGTGTGACAGAAGTTATTTGAGTCACGAATGTAGTCTATAGGATGTAGATATGTATCTTCTGGTACGGTCTGAGGAGGCGTGTTGGTTCTGACTGTTGTGGGTACTTGTTGGATTTTGTAGGTCTGAGGTGATATAGGACCGGTTGCAAGGTGTGGATCATTTTGTGTCTTGTAAAAGTCTGTTTTGGAGATTGGGTTATCAAGGAGTGATTTTCATTTTGGATAGTTGTAAGAGCGTGTTAAGGGTAATTAACTCTCAGTGAGTTGATTACATGGTTTGGTGGATAAGTAGGGTTATAGGTTGTTACGATTGTTGAGAGAGTCTCGAGGTAGTGTATAGTGGTTAGTTTTAGTTGTGTAGAGCAGGATTACACTATAAGGCAGGTGGCATGGGGTCATTGGTATGTTTGGTCATTGTAGGTGAAGTGATAAATGGTAGGTGATGCATACCAAATAGATTGTGTTTTAGAAATTGAAAGATGTGGACTGGAGATTGTATTTTAATCAGCTCTTAGGTATCAGGAGATAGTGCTAGTTGTTTGAGGATCTAAAGAGGTGGACTGATGACAAGGATGATTGGGACAAAATTGATCTTGTAGGTTTAGTTATTAGCCCATTCGACTTTTGTCGAGGCCAAGGGTGTTCTGAGGAACGGTGAAGAGGGGAGGTAGTGATGTTGAACCTAGGGTATAAAGTTTTCTTGTTTGATGGTTTTGAGGTGACAGTTGAGTGTTGAGCATTCTAGTTTTTATGTTCATTTTTGTTTTAAGGATTTGTCGACATGACATTACCGTATGGAGGTTCTTTTCTAGTGGTAAATAGTGGTCATTGTGGGGGAGTATCGAGAGTGATACTTATTCTCTTGTTATGATGGTGTTACCTTAAGGATGTTTGAGGATGAATTGTTTGGTAGTAGCTTGATGGTCCGGTAAAGATGAGAGGTTCAAGTGTCATTCGAGGATGATGGTAGTCAAGGCGTTATAGGGTGATGTGTAGTGCTGATAAGTAGAATGGTTTGAGGTATGATCTAAATGTGGTTTAGGGATTATAAGTTGTTTGTTGCGTGTTGTCAGTTATGTGATGGGATTGTATGCCAGTTGAGGCGATTGTGGGAAACTTAGACTTTAGAGCCAGAGAGAGAGAGAGAGGTGTTGCCATGTAGGCATTTTTTTCTTTTGAAGAGTCAGTGGGTTGTTGTGACTGAGGTCGCGGGAATTGTGCGCATGGTAAGACCCCTAATTTTAAAAAAGGATAGTCCTGGTATTTTTTTTATTGTTTAAATTTCATTTTTATTGTTTAAGTGTATATATATTGATTTAATTGATTTAGTTATAGTTAATTTATTTAATTGATTCAACTTATTGATTTAATTGTGTTAATTGTTTAATTGTTATTTAGTTGTTTTGTGGTAATTAGTTGTTTTAAAATTGTATTTGTTTTAATTAGTTGATTTAATGGTATGAATTTATTTAATTAAATTTAATTCGTTGTTAATGTAATTGTAGGGTTGCTTGCCTATAGGGTATACACATAAGTAACCGACATAGTTTTAACCTAGCTTTCTCTATGGGCTGAGTTTCAGTTTAGGGTTTAGTTGGACTTAGGTTTAAGGGTGGTTTATAAATATTCACCTAAGATGTCTGCCTAGGGTCCTTATTCACGACAGTGGAGGCAGAGAAGGAACAGAGGAGGATTACGGTAGTTCGTCGGAGAAACTTAAGAAGACGACGTTGGAATTTTTGAACCGAATCTCAAAGGCAAGTTCTAACCTTATGTGATGTTTCCTAATTTTATTTATTTTTTAGTTATTTATTTATTTTATTATATTGTCTTGTTGCTATAATATATATAATGATGCGGGGATAGGATAGTCTTTTGGCATTGGAATGGTATAGAGGTGATTTAGGATGGTTTGGGAAGGCATTTAAGTCCAATTGCATGGTCACACATTTGACCACTTCTACACTTGACACATGCACCACACTTGGCAGCTCTTTCTCATGCAAAGGACACCTATACACTAGATGGTAGCATTCCACTAACTCTTACAGACTCCTTCTCGGCAGCTAATCTTAATTTGTTCTTCTCTCTTCTTTCTTTCTTCTTCTCTTCTTCTTTCCTCCATTAGAGCTTGTTTTTGGAGCTTAATTTTGATAGCTTTCTAGAAAGATTTTGGGGCTGCCATAAGAACAAAAAATGTTCCTTGGAGAGAGGATTTTCCATTGATGTAAAAATCCACACTATTCCTTCATAGCGAAATTTTAAAATTACCTTGGAAGTGGGCTTTTGGTTGGTGCTTCAAAGAGGAAGTTACTCCTCTTTTTTTCTCCTTTCCATTGGTGGTTCTAGTTGATCAATTGGAGGCTATTTTGTGGGTCTTATCTTGAATTGAGGTAGGAGTTGTTCTAACCCTCAAAACCTTTATTTCTAGTGAATTAAATTATCTAAATTGAACCTTCTTTCAAGCATGTTAAGTGTGATTCAAAAACTGAAATTTCTAGCTTTTGTCAGGGTGTGTAGCATGTACTAGAAATTGGATTTTTGTTTCTCTAATGTTGGTTATGTCTTGTATGTCAAAAACTAAAATTTTGTACATGCCTATTTGAGACTATTCTACCCGGTGCTCAAACATTTTTTGTATGTTATATGTTCTACAAAAATTGAATTTTCGTGGCTTCCTATACTGATGTGTGTAGGTACCTAAATATATATATATATATATATATATATATATATATATATAATAATTATGAACCTTCCTTATATTGGATATGTGCTGTAGATATATGTTGTATGTTTAGAATTGGTTAATTGCATGCTAAATGGTATTGTCTAATGTGGTATTGTTGTTGAAAACAATACATGTTGAGTATGCTTGTATTTACTCTAGTTATGCTGCTGAAATTTGTACAAGATTGAATGTATTGTTCTCGTATAAATACTGCCATGTTAGTTGTTGTATATATGGGATGCAAGCTGAAATTCTGAAGTTGAAATATTTTGGTCTTATGATATTAGATAGCATGTAGAAATCATGCATTACATTGGGAAAGAATAGGGCAAAACTAATTTTGTTAAGGAAGAGTTTTGAAATGAAAACAAATTGAAATTTTTTGGGAAAGGTTTTGAACTAAAGTTTGTGAAAACCGGGCGGCAAGGAGTTACCTTGTGTCTGTGTCGTTAATGGGACCTAGAGGGGACGTAGGGAATTGCCTTGCATGTGGTTGAGTTACTAGGCCTCAAATGACGCTAAGGGGTTACCTTAGGTCAGGGATAGTGGTCAATCCTCCTTTTGTGGCGCAGGGGGTTACCTCGGGCCAGGTTACATTAAAGTTTGATAACTAAGGCATTGGTTGGATTTTGGAAATAGGGAGTGGCATTGACATTTTATTCGCATTGCATTTCATTTCCTTCATAGAGTTGCATTGGTAGTATGATTGTATCTCCCGACAACCGTGATCCCTTTTACTTATAGCTATTCTTTGTGTGGATTCACAGAAGTATTAAGGAGTGTGTTTTAGGCAACTTCTACTGAGTCGTTGTGCTCGCTCCATCATTATTATATATTTTTTTAGGTCATGGAAAGGAGGTCGTTGAGGACATCCCTTCGCAAGCTTAGATGGATTTGAACTATCACCTATGAATTTTTTTTTTTTTTTTTTTTTTGTATCACTGTATATGTTATATCTATGTGAAGTCTTTTATATTTTGACCCTGTAATAGCAGTAGTACTCATCTCAAAGGCATATAATTAATGGACTTTAAGGACTTATGTTTTAGGATGTATATATATTCGGGGAAAATTATGAATGGTTATTTATAACTTTTCAGTTTCATTTTTCATCCTATTGTATGTGCATTAAAACGTACACTTGGGACAGGTTAGGGGTGTTACAAATTTGGTATCAGAGCCTTGGTTCGAAAGGCATTAGGACGATGGGTAGAGGCCTACATAGGGGTTGCATGGGAAGTCATTTGCATAGGTTATGTGATTAATTGTTAAAGTGTTTTGCTATGTGAAAAAGAGCATGCTTAACTGTTTACTTGCTTACGTGTTTCTGTGCTTATATGCTTATATTAATGTGTTCATTGCCTAGTCTTGCATGCTAAGTGTTAGTATAACATCATTTTATGTTGAGTTATTCACGGTTAGACCTTAGTGTTATCATTATTGAATCGTTTTATTTGTTTTATAGAACGATGTCACGGCATGAGGAACCCAGGGAAGTTGGCCCTAGGCCAACAAGGGGTGATGTTGGCGAGAGCTTGAGCTCCAATTCGGCAGAGCCAGTTAATGAGGACACACTTCTTAGGGACTTGATTCCCCCAACAGTTGTCCCCACAAAGAGGGATAATGTTGAAGCACCCGTAGAAGTAGGTAAAGGTTCTGTGGCATTAGAGTTGAATCATTTGTTGCAAAGTGCCGTGAGGGCAACGATTGCGGCTTAGTCGCAGTCGGCACCACAACCTACAGTTCAAGTTGATGAGACGCCGGCTCAGAAGTGTCTCAAGATTATTAAAGGGTTTTCTCAGTTGATGCCGGTAATGTTTGAAGGTGGTGCAGATCCTATGGTAGCGGATGACTACATGGAGCAAGTTGAAACTCAATTAACTTCTATGGATGTGAAGGAGGATCATTTGAAAATTATCCTAGCTACTTATAAGTTTACAAAGGATGCCAAGTTTTGGTGGAAATCGATAACAAATCAATATAAAGTTGAAGAGATAAGTTGGGATAGATTCAAGGAGCTGTTCTATGAGAAATATTTCACTGCCTCCAATAGGTGGGAGTTAAAGAATCAGTTTATTGGCCTTATCCAAGGCAATATGTCAGTGACAGAATACAAGAACAAGTTCACGTCTCTTTCCCGCTTTGTTCCAGAGATGGTGAGTAATGAAGTTGATAAGGTTCAGAAGTTTAGCTCCGGACTTGACTACAAAATGAAGCCGTTGTTAATAGCACAGGGCATCAAGGTTTATTCTGAGGTAGTGGAAAGGGCATTAATGTTAGAGGTGGAGGCCAAAGATAAAGAAGCAAGAAGGGAACAATTGAGGCAAAAGAGGAATATAGGACCATCTGCAGAGGGACCTTCAGGGAAAAAGAACAGGGGTGGTTCATCTCAGTTTCAGGGGCATCCGTTTGCACGATCTGCTCCTACCACTCCTATGCCAGCTGGGTCAGATAAGAGTGCAGTTGTTTGTTATCAGTGTTAGCAGCCTGGACATTACAAGTCCAGATGTCATATGAACTTGTCTACAGTTTCCGCAGCACCAAGAGCTTGTTATGGTTGTGGCCAGCAGGGCCATAGGGTGAAGAATTGTCCGAATCAGGGAGCAGGCACAGGTAGTGGTAGAGGGTTACAGCAGAGACAGTCACAGTCTGATACAGCTCAGTCAGATTTTAGACCGCCGCCGTCACCTCAGCCTGCCATATCTTCACAGGGTTCATGGCCAGTCAGGAGGGATGCTCCTACTAGGTCAAGGCAGTAGTCAGTTGTTCAGATTGGTAGTTCTCAGGCGCAGGCACCATAGGGGTGTGTCTTTGCACTTGCTCAGGCCAATGCATCTTCTGGACCATCAGTTCTTCGTGGTATTTTTCCAGTATTTGGTTCTTGGGCCCGTGTTTTGTTTGACTCTGGTGCATCTCATTCTTTCATTTCATCATTATTTGCACTTGCATCGGGGTTAGAGGTCAGTTTCATGGATCGGGCGTTGTGTGTTGATACGCCAGTTGGGGTTTCAGTGTCATTGAGCCGAGTTATGCGGGATTGTTCTATTATGATAGCTGGGCGGACTTTTGTGTTTGACCTTATCCTCTTGGAGATGACTAGCTTTGATGTCATTCTCGGGATAGATTGGTTAGCTTCCTTTCATGCCACGATCGACTGTTTCAGAGGTAGAGTCACAGTTTGCACTCCTGAGGGAGACTGTTTCTTTTTCGTGGGAGATCGGAGTGATTTCCACATTTCATCATTTTATGGAGTTCGTGGACGTAGTCGTGGTGATTACTTCTTGGCTAGCCTTATAGCCGAAGAAGATGATGTTGTGGAAGAAGATTATCCTGCAGTTGTTCGTAATTTTCTGGATGTGTTTCCGGAGGACTTGACAGAGTTGCCTCCATACCGAGAAGTGGAGTTCTCTATTGATTTGATGCCAGGTATCGCGCCAATTTCTATGGCATCGTATCGTATGACACCAGTTGAATTGGAAGAATTAAAGAGGCAACTTGATGATTTGAGGATGAAAGGTTTCATCCGACCTAGTGTGTCACCGTGGGGCGCACCGATCTTGTTTTCTAAGAAGAAAGATGGTTCTTTGAGGTTGTGCATTGATTACCGAAAGTTGAATCATGCCACCATTAAGAACAAGTATCCTGTGCCAAGGATAGATGATTTGTTTGATCAGTTGAGAGGAACCAGTTGTTTTTTGAAGATTGACTTAAGGTCAGGCTACTATCAGTTACGGGTTAGGGATGAGGATATCCCAAAGACAGCGTTCCGTACGCGGTATGGACACTATGAGTTCCTTGTTATACCTTTTGGCTTGACTAATGCGCCAGCGGCATTCATGGACTTGATGAACCGTGTCTTTCACGATTACTTAGACCAGTTTGTGGTAGTTTTCGTAGATGACATTCTTGTGTATTCACGATCTCGGGAGGAGCACGAGATCCATTTGATTATTGTTTTACAGATTTTGCGGGAGCACCAATTGTATGCCAAATATGAGAAATATGAGTTTTGACAATTTTGGGGCATGTTGTTTCAGAAGGTGGAGTAGCAGTAGATTCATCAAAGGTTGAAGTAGTTTTGAATTGGGAGTAACCCAAGAATATTTTTGAGATTCGGAGTTTCCTTGGCCTAGCGGGTTACTATCAGAGATTTATGAAGGATTTCTCCCGTTTGGCAGTGCCTATGACCTGTTTGACCCGGAAAGGGATCAAGTTTGTGTGGAATGAAGCATGTGAGTCATCTTTTCAAGAGTTGAAGACAAGATTGACTACAACTCCAGTGTTGGTGATACCTGAGCGTGGCTTTGATACAGGATAGTAGAGTAGTGGCTTCTGGGTCTCGACAGTTGAAGACTCACGAGCTTAACTACCCTACTCATGATCTGGAGTTAACGGCAGTCGTATTTGCCTTGAAGTGTTGGAGACATTACTTGTATGGTGAGAAATTCGAGGTGTACTCGGATCACAAAAGTCTCAAGTACCTTTTCTCCCAAAAGGACTTGAACAATAGACAGAGAAGATGGGTTGAATTCTTGGAGGACTACAACTTTGACTTGCAGTATCATCCGGGCAAGGCAAATGTGGTAGCAAATGCCTTAAGCCAGAAATCTCGTGGAACTCTGGCCTGTTTGGCTATTTGGAAGTGGAAGATGCTTAAGGATTTAGCAGAGATAGGATTGTATTGTTTTGATGATGATGTTGGCAGTGAGCCAGCATTCTTGTTCAGTCTTGTTGCTCAGCCTACTCTTATCAGACGAGTGATTGAGTCATAGAGACAGGATCTAGATTTTGATGCCCTTTATACCTTGATCTCTGGTGGTGAGACAGTGAAAGATTGGACCTTGCATGTAGACGGGAGTTTCATACTTCCCACTTTGTAGTTCATCCAGGTGGTACCAAGATGTATCACAATTTGAGACGTCAGTATTGGTGGAACGGGATGAAGAAAGATGTTGCACAGTTTGTGGCTAGATGCCTTACCTGTCAGCAGGTGAAGGCCGAGCATCAGAGACCAGCCGGTTTATTGCAACCATTACCTGTAGCGTAGTGGAAATGGGAACATATTGCTATGGATTTTGTGACAGGTCTTCCAAGGTCACAGAGGGGTAATGAAGCCGTATGGGTCATCGTTGACAGATTGACCAAGACGGCTCACTTTTTACCTATTAAGGCAACAGATGATGCAGAGAAGCTTGGTGTACTTTATGTGAAGGAGATTGTAAGGTTTTATGGAGTTCCTGTAACCATTGTGTCAGATAGGGATGCTAAATTCACTTCGGAGTTCTGGGAAGGACTTCAAGCAGCGTTTAGTTCAGCATTACATCTTAGTACGACATTTCATCCACAGACAGACGGCCAGTCGGAGCGTACTATCCAGATCTTGGAGGATATGCTTCGGGCGTGTGTGCTTGACTTGGGAGGTAGTTGGGAGAATCACCTTCCGCTTATTGAGTTTGCTTATAACAACAGTTATGAGGCTAGTATCCAGATGGCTCCATTTGAGGCGTTATATGGTAGACCTTGTAGGTCTCCTGTTTGTTGGACTGAGGTGGGTGAGACCGCCGCTTTAGGACCCGATATAGTACTCGAGACTACCGAGAAGATTAAGTTGATCAGACAGAGGTTGCTTACAGCTCAGAGCCGACAGAAGAGTTATGCGGACAAGCGAAGACGGCCGTTATCTTTTGAGGTAGGAGACTATGTTTTTCTACAAGTTTCTCCATGGAAAGGATTGATGAGATTTGGGAAAAGTGGCAAGTTGTCGCCACGATTCATTGGACCGTTTGAGATTTTGGATCGTGTAGGAGAGGTTGCTTACAGACTTGCTTTGCCACCATAGATGGACATAGTTCACAATGTCTTCCATGTATCGATGTTACGGAAGTACGAGCCGGATCCATCTCACATTTTGAGTTAAGTTGATGTGGACATTGCTGAGGATGTTTCCTACGAGGAGGGACCAGTCCAGATTCTTGACACCCGAGAGAAGTTGTTAAAAGGCAAGACGATACCGCTAGTGAAGGTTCTGTGGAGACATCACGGCATTGAGGAAGCTACTTGGGAACGAGAGCAAGATATCCGTTCCAAGTATTTGGAGTTATTTTCTTCCTCAGGTACGACTCGATTTCGGGGACGAAATTTTTTTATGTTGGGGAGGCTGTGATGTTTCCTAATTTTATTTATTTATTTAGTTATTTATTTATTTTATTGTATTGTCTTGTTGCTATAATATATATAATGATGTGGGAATAGGATAGTCTTTTGGCATTGGAATGGCATAGAGGTGATTTATGATGGTTTGGGAAGGCATTTAAGTCCAATTGCATGGTCACACATTTGACCACTTCTCCACTTGACACATGCACCACACTTGGTAGCTCTTTCTCATGCAAAGGACACCTATACACTAGATGGTAGCATTCCACTAACTCTTACAGACTCCTTCTCGGCAGCTAATCTCAATTTCTTCTTCTCTTTTCTTTCTTTCTTCTTCTCTTCTTCTTTCCTCCATTAGAGCTTATTTTTGGAGCTTAATTTTGATAGCTTTCTAGAAAGATTTTGGGGCTGCCATAAGAACATAAAATGTTCCTTGGAGAGAGGATTTTCCATTGATGTAAAAATCCACACCATTCCTTCATAGCGAAATTTTAAAATTACCTTGGAAGTGGGCTGTTGGTTGGTGCTTCAAAGAGAAAGTTACTCCTCTTTTTTTCTCCTTTCCATTGGTGGTTCTAGTTGATCAATTGAAGGCTATTTTGTGGGTCTTAGCTTGAATTGAGGTAGGAGTTGTTCTAACCCTCAAAACCTTTATTTCTAGTGAATTAAATTCTCTAAATTGAACCTTCTTTCAAGCATGTTAAGTGTGATTCAAAAACTGAAATTTTTAGCTTTTGTCATGGTGTGTAACATGTACTAGAAATTGAATTTTTGTTTCTCTAATGTTGGTAATGTCTTGTATGTCGAAAACTAAAATTTTGTACATGCCTATTTGAGACTATTCTGCCCGGTGCTCAAACATTGTTTGTATGTTATATGTTCTACAAAAATTGAATTTTCGTGGCTTCCTGTACTGATGTGTGTAGGTACCTAAATATATATATATATATATATATATATATAATAATAATAATAATAATAATAATAATAATAATAATAATTATGAACCTTCCTTATATTGCATATGTGCTGTAGATATATGTTGTATGTTTAGAATTGGTTAATTGCATGCTAAATGGTATTGTCTAATGTGGTATTATTGTTGAAAACAATACATGTTAAGTATGCTTGTATTTACTCTAGTTATGCTGCTGAAATTTGTACAAGATTGAATGTATTGTTCTTGTATAAATACTGCCATGTTAGTTGTTGTATATATGGGATGGCAGCTGAAATTCTGAAGTTGAAATATTTTGGTCTTATGATATTAGATAACTTGTAGAAATTATGCATTACATTGGGAAACAATGGGGCAAAACTAATTTTGTTAAGGAGGAGTTTTGAAATGAAAACAAATTGAAATTTTTTGGGAAAGGTTTTGAACTAAAGTTTGTGAAAACCGGGCGGCAAGGAGTTACCTTATGTCCGTGTTGTTAATGGGACCTAGAGGGGACGTAGGGAATTGCCTTACGTGTGGTTGAGTTACTAGGCCCCAAATGACGCTAAGGAGTTACCTTAGGTCAGGGATAGTGGTCAATCCTCCTCTTGTGGCACTGGGGGGTTACCTTGGGCCGGGTTACATTAACGGTTTGATAACTAAGGCGTTGGTTGGATTTTGGACATGGGGAGTGGCATTGACATTTCATTCGCATTGCATTTCATTTCCGTCATAGAGTTGCATTGGTAGTATGATTGTATCTCCCGACAAGCATGATCCCTTTTACTTATAGTTATTCTTTGTGTGGATTCACGAAAGTATTAAGGAGTGCATTTTAGGTAACTTCTATTGAGCCGTTATGCTCACTCCATCATTATTATATTTTTTTTCAGGTCATGGAAAGGAGGTCGTTGAGGACATCCCTCCGCAAGCTTAGATGGATTTGAACTATCACCTATGAATTTTTTTTTTTTTTGTATCACTGTATATGTTATATCTATGTGAAGTCTTCTATATTTTGACCATGTAATAGCAGTAGTACTCGTCTCAAAGGCATATAATTAATGGACTTTAAGGACTTATGTTTTGGGATGTATATATATATTCGGGGAAAATTATGAATGGTCATTTATAACTTTTCAGTTTCATTTTTCATCCTATTGTATGTGCATTGAAAAGTACACTTGGGACAGGTTAGGGGTGTTACACCTTACTCTTTCCCTTTTACTCGTGTTCTTTGCATGCCTAAGCAGTTCTAGGAAATCATTAAACGGAATTAAATTGACTTTGCATGTTTAAAATTTATTACATCAGTATGTGCTAAAACGAGTTGTGTATTGCTTGTCTTGTGTTCGACTGTGTATATTTCCTTGTTTAATTACAGTTAATCAATGCCTAAAGAAGTTAGATGAGTCTTCTTTGGTTAAGTCTGAACATAATTAAAAGCATCAGAGGCTGTAACAGAGAGGAACGGAAACAATGGAGATCATCGGAGACGAAACAAACAATCAGGAAGAGAGGGGAAAGAAGAGGCGGCTCCATGGAATCATTGAGCCAGCTCAAAGAGAGTTGGAGGCGGCTCCAACTTGGTTGGAGGCGGTTCCTTTGACGTCTTCCAGTTTTCTTGATTTTTCTAGCAAACCTAGGCTACTGTGGTTGAATTTTTAGGGTTCCAGGCTGATTCAAGAGCTGTTTTAGGGATACCCAGTAATGTATAAACCTTTGTTAAATGTTCAGAAGACATGGTGATACATTCAGCACCATAAGAAGCTAAGGTAGGAACGGGCGGGAACACTTAAGAAAGTTTGTGTGACGATTTTGTTACAGACAATTCAAGTTGCTTATTTTTAAATTTAGCAATTGAATTAGGAATTTCATATTTAAATCATGTAACAGTGGTATGGGATTAAGCATGTCAACTAATATAAATTCAGTTAATGCTTAATAAGAAACTAGTTTACAAAGTATTGTTTGTATCAACTTGTGGGATATTGTGGAGTAATTACAATAAGCATGTTAATTCTATTGTTGATATTATTATGCTTATTGTAGGTTACAGAATGGTTGTAGTTATATCTTTGCATTTTAAATTGTAGAGAATCATTTACTGGTAGTATTGAACAAACATGCTATTTATACATTCTTGTTATACTTATATTGGATATGTTGATATTGTAATGTTTACTATCATTTATATTATCAGCACTGGACGGATGAATTGTATGCGCCGGTATGGGACGGTGACATACTAAGGGGATTAGCTCAAAAACGCTAAGTCTTACTTACTCTGGATTAAGAATTGGATTAACTAAAAGTTAAGTCCTATCGATTGTAGTGTCATGGCAATAACTAGTTGAACGGCACTACTAGAATACATGATGGATTTTAAATATATTGTTATGGTACCTTGATATGAGCATGAGTCTCAGGATCGACGGTTAGGGAGCGTATATGCATTGGAATGCATAACTGGATACGATGGTTGGAGGTGTACCCTGTTTAGGCTTAGGTACACATGCCCACTTCGTGTGCGTTTTAGCATGTTACCTCTATTCAGGTTGAGACCGGCTTATAGTCCAGTGAGTGTCCTTTAGTGTGACTATATATATATATATTTATAGACTATTAGCTATTATTGAATTGCTTAGGATGTATATGCGTATCGAGTTTCTATTTGGATGGTAGTAGGATAGAACTTGTTTGTGGGCCTGACCCACTCCTATTTTTCAGGTGTACGTCAGTTCCAGTCTTGAGCTTGTTCGTGCTGAGCAGAGATGGTCACTCATTCTTCCGACGACGTAGGATCTCTCTCCATGATTTAATTATGGATTTCTTCTAGTTTTATTTCAGTTTGGTTTTCTTATTAGGGGTCCACTGGATGGATTCCTGAGTTGTACCCTTGAAGGTTTTTGAGTTGGATTATTACAACTTTATTATTTAGGATTTTAAGTATTTAATTTCAAGGATTATGTTTTAGTATTCTTTTAAGCTTTTAAACTTTTATTTATTAAATTCATTTTGTCATCTGTGTTCGATTATATATTAATTGTTTGATATTCCCTCGGGTTTGGGCCTAGGCCTGATCAACCCGTATCTCGGATTCGAGGGGTATCACATAGCTTGATGGTCCGGTAAAGATGAGAGGTGTGATACCCCTTGGATCCGAGGGGTATCACAAAGGCAAAGGTAAGTAATCAATTAAACACACCAGAATAACCAATTAAACAAATAATTAATAGTTAAACAAATAAAAATTCAATAACATAATAATCAAAATATCGAGATTATCCTTTTAAAAATTAGGGGTATTATATTCTTCCCCCCTAGCAAATGGAATTCCGTCCTCAGAATTCGCTCTTACCTTCTTCCAATATTTTAGGAAACTACAAGGGAATGACGTCCTCCCGTTCCCAAGTAGACTCAGCCTCATTGTGATAACTCCACTGGACACGAACTAAAGGTATAACCTTGTTATGAAGGATTTGATCCCGACGGTCGACAATACGACATGGTGGCTCCAAATAAGTTGCATCCGGCTGCAACTCAATCGTCCCAACGTCAATATGCTGATACCGATCTTCATCTCGTAGAAATTTTTGCAACATGGAAACATGAAACACATGTGCATGTGATCCAAATTATCCAGAAGTGCCAATCGATAAACAACAGTGCCAACTCGGTCCGTAATCATAAATGGACCCACAAACCGCGGTGCTAACTTCCCTTTCTTCCCAAAGCGCATAACTCCCTTCATAGGAGACACTTTGAGTAGAACTTGATCCCCAACCTGAAACTCCAATGCCCGAATGCGACGATCAACATAGCTCTTCTGCCTACTTTGGGCAGTACGCATGCGATCTCGAATAAAAGCTATCTTTTCAGAAGTATCCTCGATAAACTTAGGACCCAAGAATCTGCTCTCGCTAACCTTCATTCAACAAACGGGTGATCGACACGGTCGGCCGTATAATGCCTCAAATGGTGCCATCCCAATAGTCTTTTGAAAACTATTGTTATAAGCAAACTCCACAAGCGGTAAGTAATCCTCCCAGTGGCCCTTGAAATCAAGAACACACGACCGAAGCATATCCTCCATAATCTGATTCACCCGCATAGTCTGTCCATCAGTCTGAGGATAATAAGCAGTGCTAAGATGCAACTCTATAGCCAAAGCTTGCTGAAAACTCTTCCAGAATCCTGACACAAAGCTCGAATCCCTATCCGATATGATAGACAATGGAATGCCATACAACTTCACAATCTCTGAAATGTAAAGCCTCAACAACTGCTTCGAAATGAAATCAGTGCGAATAGGCAAGAAGTGAGCTGATTTCGTCAGTTTATCCACAATAACCCAAATGGAGTTGTGATCCTTGAAGGAATTTGGCAACCCTTCCACAAAGTTCATAGAAATGCTCTCCCATTTCCACTCCGGTATCGGTAGTGGCTGTAGAGCTCCTGGCGGCCTCTGATGATCAATCTTGACCATCTGACAAGTACTACATCGCGAGATAAAAAGAGCAATGTCCCTCTTCATACCTGCCCACCAAAACTGCCGCTTCATATCCTGATATATCTTGTCGCCTCCTGTATGAACAAAAAACTCAGAGTGGTGAGTCTCAGTCATGACATCCTTCCTCAAATCATCATCAGAAGGTACCACTAACTGTCCCTTGTACCTCAAACCTCCATCAGCCCCAACATAGTAGAACAGAACCTCTCCGAAAGTTATCTTTGCAACTTTGTCAATGCACTGCTGATCCGCGAGTTGTGCCTTCAAAACCTTGTGAATGATAGAAGGTGTAACTACCATACAAGCCATGAACGCATCTGATAATTCATCCACCTTCTTTAACGCATTCCACTCAGTAGTGAATAGAGCAGAAAGACTACCAATAGGTCGGCGACTGAGTGCATCCGCCACCACATTTGCTTTCCCTGGATGATACTGTATAGAGAACTGATAGTCTTTCACAAATTCCAACCACCGGCGCTGTTTCATATTCAGCTCCTGTTGAGTGAACAAATACTGCGGATTCTTATGGCCGTTAAATAATCTGAAGGACTCACCTAACAGATAATGCCTTCAAATGCGTAAAGTAAATACTACAGTTGCCAACTCTAAATCGTGTGTTGGATAATTAAGCGCATGAGGCTTAAGCTTCCGAGATCCATACGAAATCGGTTACTCCTTCTGTATCAAAACACATCCAAGACCCTGCAAAGAAGCATCTGTGTAGACCAGATGCTCTATCCCGATCTGTGGGGTAGACAAAATCAGTGCAGAAGTCAACCGAATCTTCAACTCATCAAAAGCTCTCTGACATTGTTCATCCCACACGAACCGTACACCCTTCTTAGTCAGATGAGTGAGTGGTCCTGCTATCTTTGAGAACCCCTGAATGAACCTCCTGTAATATCTTGCTAAACCGAGAAAACTTCGAATCTCAGTAGGTGAAGTAGGCTGTCCCCACTCAACCATTGCTGAAACCTTGGCCGGATCCACCGCTATTCCCTTTTCTGACACCATATAACCCAGAAACTTCACCTCCCGCTGCCAAAATTCACACTTCTCGAACTGGGCATACAACTGGTGCTCACGAAGTGTCTGCTAGACTATCTAAAGATGTCTAGCACGATCGTCCTCCGTCCGAGAATAGATCAAGATATCATCAATAAAGACAATGACAAACTGATCCAAACAAGCCTGGAAGACCTTGTTCATTAGGTCCATGAACACTGCTGGTGCATTAGTCGTCCTAAACGGCATGACACGGAACTCATAAGATCCATATCTAGTGAGAAATGTTGTCCTTGGAACATCCTGCTCCCGAACCCGAAGTTGATGATACCCAGACCGCAGATCAATCTTAGAAAAATAGGTAGCTCCTTTCAACTGATCAAACAAGTCATCAATCATGGGCAACGGATACTTGTTACGAATCGTAACCTTGTTCAACTCCCTGTAATCTATACACAAGCAGAGCGAACTATCCTTCTTTTCCACAAATAAAATCGGTGCTCCCTAGGGTGAAGTACTCCTGCGAATGAAACCCTGGTTGAGTAGTTGCTGAATCTGATCCCTTAGCTCGCGCATCTCCACGGGTGCCATCCTATAAGGTACCCTAGCAATAGGCGTTGTGCCTGGAGCTAAGTCTATCACAAAGTCAATCTCACGACTAGGTGGCAACCCTGG